GATCGGCTGCCTCCTGCACGCCCCACACTGGGTATTGAGCCCACAACCCGGGCCTGTGCCCTTGACTGTCGTAGAACCGTGACCTCCTGGCTCACAGGTCGAGGCTCAACCTCTGAGCCGCGCCCGCCGGGCTGGGCAGCTTCTGTTTAGCCCAGGGGTGGGCAAACTTTTTGACTCGAGGGCCACAATGGGTTCTTAAACTGGACCGGAGGGCCGGAACAAAAGCATGGGTGGAGTGTTTGTGTGAACTAATATAAATTCAAAGTAAACATCATTACATAAAAGGGTACGGTCTTTTTTTTTTTTTTTTAGTTTTATTCATTTCAAACGGGCCGGATCCGGCCCGCGCCGTAGTTTGCCTACGGCTGGTTTAGCCGATTCAAAACGAAGTGCCGGGAACTGTCAGGTGATGGCAGGGCCTTTCTTTTGAGAGTTCGCTCTGTGCCAGCCGCGTGCCCTGCACTTTCCATGCCTCACACTCCACAGCGCCTGAGGAATGGCCACCTTATCATCCCATTTTACAGATGGGGAAACTGTGGCACGGAGAGGTCGTAGTTCGCTCGAGGTCAGAGGACTGGTCACTGGAGCCGGGACTTCGGCCCCTGACTCCAGCGCCTGTGGGTCCTTCAGGGCTGTCCCCACCCCAGCTCTTCCCCACCGTGTGGCCACATTAAATTAAGTGAGTTGAATTGGGCGTTAAATCCATGACTGGCCATTCGCGGTGATCCCACGAGAGCCTGTGACCAGCCGTCCACGGCCCCATTTCCCGAGGTTTCCCCTCGGTTCTCGAAGCTCGTTTGTGCGGTGAGGCTGCGCCCTGCCTGGAACATTCCTGCTCCTGGGCCAGGAAGGAGGGGTCCCAGGGCGCCCTCTGACCCCCACTCTCCCTCACTTTCCTCTCCCCTCTTGCCCACAGGCAGCTGCTGAAGACAGAGCTGGGGTCCTTCTTCACGGAGTACCTGCAGGTGGGTGGTCTCGTTCCCAGGCGGGTGGTCCCGCTCGCCAGGTGGGTGGTCCCGCTCACCAGGTGGGTGGTCCTGCTCTCCGGCCCGGCTGGGATTGCTTCCTGAGCTGGCCAGGAAAGACCGGGGCTCACACACCCTCAGTGGGCACCTGGTGCACGAGGTTCCAGGGCCTCTGCCTCATCATGACTCAGTTTCCCCATCTAGCCACTGCTGAGGGTTGTGAAGGTTAAATAGCCCTGTGACCTTCACCACTAGCACGGTGCCTGGCACGTGGCAGGACTCGGGGCCTTTGTTATTACTGGCCCCCCTCCTCCTGAGCCCCAGGCCCCGCCCCCCATAGCCCCATGTCACGGGGATGGAATCTCACACGTGGCCTCTGTGTCCGCTTCCTTCGCTGAGCACAGCGTGCCCCTCTGGCCCAGGCGCTGCGTTCCCTTTTACAGCCGAATAACACCCCATTGTGTGCCCCCCCTTTGTCCACTTGCCCTGGGGGGACACGGGGGCATGTGCACCTCTTGGCTGTTGTGAATGGGGCTGAGACCCCTCAGCCGGTGCCCAGGGCGCGGCCAGGACCCCTGTGGGTGAGCCTCCGTGACCCTCGTGGCCGCCCTGTGTGCTCCAGCGCCCTCCCTGGCCGTGGGGGTGAAGGCAGCCTGCCTGCCGGCTCAGCGGAGGCTCCAGGCGCCACCTGTCTTTGGGGTTGTCCCTGCGGCCACCTCCTGTCTCGTGACAACCCCTGGTGGGTCCGTTGTCCGTGTCCTCCCAGGCGAGCTGAGGGTCAGGATGTGGCGGTGGGAGGTGGCATGTCGGTGAGCCCCTTCCCGCTGGGCCTCAGCTGTCCCCCAGGAAGCCCCGGGCTCTCTCAGGCGGTGATGGCGTCTCTGTGTCCCTTTCAGAACCAGCTGCTGACGAAGGGCATGGTGATCCTGCGGGACAAGATCCGCTTCTACGAGGGTGAGTGGCAGCCCAGCCGGACCGTGCGCTGGGCCACGCTGCTGGCTGGGTGGCTGCTGGGCATCGTGGCTGCCACCAGGGAGGGTGGCACAGCAGGTGGGCCCGTGGGAACCGTGGACTGCCAGCCTCGCCTGGGCCTCCAGGGCTCCAGGTGGGCCACGGGGCCCTCCTGGTCGGGAAGGCTCAGAGGGACAGAAATGATGCGTCAGGGCGGCAGGGCTGAGGCCTGACCCCCGGAGGGGACCTCACTGGGGAGAGCCTCTGCCCCCCAACTTGCAGGGGCCCAGGAGGCCTGAGAGGTGTCGGAGAGAAGGCCCTGCCTCACCCCCAGCCCACAGCAGCCTGGGAACCGCAGGCCTGAGGGGAAGAGGCTGGAGCAGGTGGCTGACGCCTGGGGGGAGCAGCTGGAGGGGGCTCCCTGCGGGCATGCTGGGAGTGTTCTCTTTAATGCCACACCCACCCCATGTGGCCTCTGGGTCATTGTTCCCATCACCCAGCTGGGGAGCGGTGTACTGATGACGGGCGGCTTGTCCCTGGCCACACAAGAAGGAGGGGAGGCGGGATTCGAACCCCGGCCAGCCTGCTCCAGAGCACACACCTTTGCCCTCTGGAGCCCGTGAGTCCCAGCTGGCCTCTGCCCGGCTCAGGCCTCAGCAAGTAGGGAGGGTCCTGCCCAACCACCCTCCTCCAGGCCCTGAGTCTCAGCGGGCGTGCCCAGTCCACACCCTCGGACTCCCAGTGTCCGCGGAGCCACAGCCGAAGGGTGTGCCCCCTTAGGGAGAGGTCAGGGGATGGGAGAGCCCAGTTCACCCGATGCGCCTTTGCAGGTAGCGCCTTCTGTGCCCAGGCCGGGGCTGGGTTCCGGTTCCATACACATTTGCTGAGCACCTACTGTGCGCGGGGCACAGAGCACATGCCTGTTCTGTAGACACTTTCCTGCCTCTGCTAACTCACTGGGTCCCCCAGCAACCTGTGCAGGAGGTACCATTGTTGTAGCCCCTGATCATAGGGGAAACTGAGCCACAGTGGGGTTCAGGAGCGCCCAGGCCACGCGGCTGCTACACGGCTCCTGAGCCCACACTCCTCTTTCCGCTGCTCCAGATGCATCCTCGAGTCCTCACTCTGACCTGGAGAGAAGGGGTGTTGTTCCATTTTGCAGAGGAGGAGACTGAGGCCTGGCGGGCTGGCGGCTCTGGGTGAACTCCGAGCTGCGTGCCCCATTCCTTCCACAACCCCCCTCCCCTCCCCCCTCTCCGGGGCACAGCGGGCGGAAGCTGCTGAGGCAGGAGCCTGAGAAGGGCCACAAGGACCTCAGCTGTGGGGCCGGGAGGTTCCGGGCCAGCTTCCTGGAGGAGGCAGCACGAAGTCTGCAGGCCGGGCAGTGAGGGTTTGGCACCTGGCGGAGACGCCCGCCCACGCCCCTCTCCTGACTCGGCACATTCCCGTGGAGTCCGTGCCTCCCACCAGCGCCAGCCCAGGGCAGTGGGGATCCTCGGAGAAGGGGAGCTTTGTGTGGCTGGGTGGAGTCCTGCCCACAGCGGCCGTGTCCACCAGGCCGCCAGCGAGGAGCGCCAGCCCCGTCCAAACCCCCTGGCCTGAGGGACAGGCCCGGAGCCCGTTCTCATCCAGCCAGAGACGCAGCCTTTCCTTCTGGCTCAGTGTCCCCGTCTTGAGACTGAGGGGTTGGCCGGGCTCCATCCACATGCTCAGCACGTGCCAGCACCCAGGTGGCCCTGGGGACCTGAAACGGAGGAGACCCAGGCCTCACAGCCATGTGGGGATGCCAGATGGTGAAGTCCAGTGTGCTGCGTGTCAGGGTGAAGGGTTGGTTTCATTGGCAATCCGGGAGGGCTGCATGGAGATGGCGGCCCTTGAGGAGAGCCTCAGAATATAGTCTGTTCTGGACGACGTCTGGCCCCCTTCGGCCCTGCAGTGGAAACAGCAACCGACCTGTCACCCTGAGAACAGCCTCGAGAGCCTCCCACCCCAGTTTGGGTCCCAGGGCGAGTTCTTCCTGGAGACGGCTGCCTGCGCCCAGCCACATCCTCGCCCGTGGCTCTGATGGACAGGGTGGCGGCCCCTGGGACGGCCCCAGACCCTCACCACTGCTCCTGTCGCCGCCCCCATGGAGGCCTTGAATGTGGGCTCCCAAGCAGAGTGATCCCTGCAAATGAGAAGCCTGGAGGCCGGCCAGTAGGTGGAGGCTCCTCCCCGGGACGAGTCCCAGGCTGTCGTTTGGTGGTCTCAGCGCGATGGCTGATAGGAGTGGACTCCAGCCGCAGCCAGGATGACCCCCTCAGCAGCCAGCCCCGTGGTCATCACCGTCCCTGGGGACTCCCCGAGCCGGGCTGAGACCTGAGCCGGCATCCAGAACTGAGAGTCGGCCCTCAGCACGTGGCAAAGGAAGGCTGACCTGCCCCCGGGACAGAACGGCTTGGGCCACAGCCGCTGCCTGGGCCCTGCTGAATGTCAGCAGGGACATGGCCCACCCGGTCATCGTGGCCACAGCCACACCCCTGAGCTCCTGTTCGTAGCCCCGTGCAAGTGGGACAGCTGTTGCACCCATTTTACAGAGAGCCACACTGAGGCTCAGGGTGCGGGGCTCCCCTGGGGCCCCACAGCAAAGCTTCAGCTCCGTGCTGCCCGACTGTCACCCCCAGACCTCAGTCCCCAGCAGGGATCCTGGCCAGTGGGTGAGGCCTTGCTGCCCAGCCTCGGCCAGCATGCAGCTCCGTCGGGCCTGGGCTCCGTGTGTTACGTCTCCTTTCCATGGCCTTTCCGCTCCGGGGCCTGGAGGGTGTCCTGAGCCCGGCAGACGCTGGCCTGGCCCACGCCCCGGGCACCCCACGCCGGCCTAGCGACAGCTGCCTTATTGCTGACGGTGGCGGGGACCTGAAGGGACCTTTGTGTTCGGGCAGAGCCTCTGGGGCCGCCAGCACCCGCCTGTCCCGCCGCAGACCCAGGTGGGCCCCGGGGAGGACGGGGACTGGCTGCTTGGCAAGGAGCCCCAGTGCCGGCAGACGGCCGAGCACAGAGGCCGGGCCCCCGTCACCGCCAGGCTGGACTGGGCGGCCCCAGCCAGGCCCCCTCCCGGAGCCCAGCACCGACACAGACCTGGGCTTTACAGGCGGAGGGAGCGGGGCCCAGAGCGCAAGGAAGTGAGAAGAAAGACCAAGGCTCTTGTCTGACTCTCGTTCCCATGGAAACCTCCAGCGGTCAGACAGGAGCAGTGCAGTCTGGGAGACCTGCCCGCTGGGGGCACTTGCCTCTCCTCACCCAGAGATGCCCACCGCGCCCCTGCTGGTGCCTCGTTGGCTTCCAGGTGGGGGTCGGCTCCTCCCGCCCCGGCAGCCCCTCATCCCAACTCTGCTCTTCCCAGTGGGAAGGCGAAGGGTCCGCACTTTGCATTTCCTGGGGGCCCGGGCCAGCCCGGGGGCCCTCAGCTGCCCCATCCCCCGGGGTGGGTCCCCTGAGCATGGCACCGCTCCTCCTCAGGCACAAGTGCCTGCAAAGCTGGTCCAACCGCCTGCTTCCCGCACGTCTCCTTCTGTGGTCACACCCAGGATGTCGGTCAGTGCAGCAAACACCCTACATCAGCTTGGATCACACCTCCTCTCCTCTCCTGCCTGGGGCGTGGCTGTGGTCGGAAATGGTCTCCCTGCTCCCCGGACCGCGCCCCCCTCAGGCAGCCTGGGTGTCAGGGACCCAGGCCCTTGAGAAGGACCTTGAACCCCTTGGAGGCTTTCTCATCACTTGTCCAGTGAGGCGACCCCCTGCCATCGTCCTCATAACTGCTGTTCAGTGCCCTGCTTCCCTGCCTGCAATGGGGCTGGGACTCCGGGTCCCCAGGGGAGGGCCTGGCACCGTGTAGATCAGGGGTCCTCAAACTACGGCCCAAGGGCCACATGCAAATACAAATATTGTATTTGTTCCCATTTTGTTTCTTTACTTCAAAATAAGATATGTGCGGTGTGCATAGGAATTTGTTCATAGTTTTTTTTTAAACTATAGTCCGGCCCTCCAACGGTCTGAGGGACAGTGAACTGGCCCCCTGTTTAAAAAGTTTGAGGACCCCTGGTGTAGATGTTCTATAGATGGACAGACTGGTGGGAGAGTGGAGGGAGGGAAGGAGAGGCGCATGGGTGGGAGGGTTCCTCAACTGCTTGGCGGGTGGTTACGTGAATGAGACGAGGGGAGACAAGGACGTGAGCAGAAGCTCCTGTTGGGGGGGGCGGGGGGCGGCACTTGTACAGGTCTGGCCCCTGTGTGGGTCTGGTGTGGGCAGGACCGGGGACCGGCAGCGAGTCCACACCAGCACTTCCCCTGCACCAGGCCCTGTTTAGCTCGTTTCATTCATCTTAATGGGGAAACTGAGGCACAGAACGGTTGGAGTGGACCCCGGGCCACCGAGCTGCCAAGGGCTCTGGGCCCTGCCTCAGGCGCCTCCAGGCCCGGGACCCAGCCTGAGCAGACGGGAGATGACGTCCCGTCCGGTCCGACCCGGGGGGTGTGAGTTTGTGCCGCGCCTTTCGGGACGGGCAGTGACGGCTCCTGTGCCCACAGGACAGAAGCTGCTGGACTCGCTGGCGGAGACGTGGGACTTCTTCTTCAGCGACGTGCTGCCCACCCTGCAGGCCATCTTCTATCCGGTGCAGGTGAGCAGCCCGACGGCCCGGGCCCCCCGACCCACGGTGACTGCCCGGCCTGGCCTCACTCAGACTGCCCGGCCTGGCCTGGGGAGGGACACCTTTCTGCCCCTCGCTGCCTTTGCGGGCTGTCTGCACCCGTAGCACGGCCAGGCACGCTGCCCCTGGCCCTCTCAGAACCTGCTTCCCATCCACAAGATGGAAATAAGGCAGCTCCTTCCTAAAGGCCCTACAAAGCCTGAGCAGCACGTAGTAGGCCGTGCTCAGCGCACAGCAGGGGCTCTGTGTGTGACAGGTCAGTGGGTCCCTGCCCCTGTGTCTGGGGTCGCCCGTGACTGGTGGGCGTTGCGCATTCTGTGTCCGCAGGGCAAGGAGCCGTCGGTGCGCCAGCTGGCCCTGCTGCACTTCCGCAACACCATCACCCTCAGCGTGAAGCTGGAGGACGCGCTGGCCCGCGCCCACGCCCGCGTGCCCCCCGCCATCGTGCAGATGCTGCTGGTGCTACAGGTGGGCACCCGGCCGGGCTCGGGCAGATGGTGTCTCAGGCCAGGCCCCCAGAGGCAGCGCCGAGGAGGACCTGGGTCCACACGAGTCACAGATGGGATGCTGTCAGGAGGAACCTGGGGCGGGGAGTGAGCAGGAGCAGGAACGCAGCTGGCACACTAGGGGGCGGGGCGCTGGGCAGAGCCCAGGTTCTGGGGGAGGTCCCGGGAGTGTGACCAGGACCAGCGTTATCCCTCCTGGGCAGGGCGGGGCCTTCCACCTCCTCAGTCAGCCCCTGGGGCTGTGGGCCGCCTCCCCCACGCCCCACGGCAGTCCCCACCTCTCTGGGGGGGAGGCTTTCATCTGAGGGGGCAGCTCTGGGGAGGGGGCAGCTGCGAGCGGCTGGCAGCCACACTCCTGGCAGCTGGGGGGTGAGTGGCCTGCCCAAGACAGGGTGTGACGGGCCACCAGCAGCCTCCACTGCCACTCGGCCTTTCTGCCTCACCCTGGGCCCTGTGCAGGCCCGGCAGCCGGCTCTGTGCTGGCTCAGCTCAGTGTCACAGGACCCGGGCGGGCACCGGCAGGGAAACCGAGCCCCCGCCTGGAGCCGCTGGCGTGCAGCTAACAAGGCCAGCAGCCCGGCCACCCGAGTCCGGCGGCTCTGAAGCCCCGCCCACTGTCTGGATCCCCTGCGCGTGGGAATCCGGCTCACGCAGGATCAGTGGGGTGGGCCTGCGGCCGGCAGCCCGGAAGATCCCAGAGCAAGGGGGCTGGTGACTGGGGGCTGCCGTCCCGGGCGGCACTGCCGTCAGCTGAGGTGGCCCGGCAGCTCCGGGGGCAGCAGGCCGGCCAAGCGGGATTTCGAGGGTGTCAGGTCAGACCTGGCCGGGTGGAAGCTGGGGGCCTCGGCGGGACTTTGTCTCTCGAGCCGCTTTTCTCGTCGTGTGGAGTGAGGCTGCCTATTGCCAGGCAGGTTCAGGGATAACGGGGAGACATCGGATGCAAAGCCCCCAATATGCCCCTGGGAGCAGGTGCCACACGGCTGGGATTTAGAGCCAAGGAATAAGGTCCCACCTTGATCCCAGGAGCCCCATCCTGTGGG